CCCCAAAACCCCAAAACCCCACTTATAAGAAATTACTATAGAATTAGTATAATAGAGATAAAATGACATCAAAAGCACAATAATCTATATAAATCATCTAGTTCTTCCTTTATAGAATACAATTTTCTCTGTTCAAATACGTCTTTATTAGCAGCTAATCTCATCCTATTAACTCTTTCCATGGCTCTTTAATAAGCTTTTCTAATAGATTCCTTTTTAGGAGGGCCCATTTCTAAATTGTTAATCATGTTCTAAAGCAGGATCAAATGAATTAACAGTTCCTACTTATTGGGAGGGTATGGATATTTCAGATAATGTTGTTTTTCGAAGTTCTCCAACCAGTAATGCCAGTCCTTTTCGTATTTACCCCACTTCTCAATACTATTGCGATAAGATTTGGCAAGCTAACTAAATTTGACCTTATTTTACTCAAGTTTCTAAAGCCCTTAGGCTGCCAATGAAGGCAGTTTGATGTTTACAAAAGAAACCTCTGGTAATAGTCTTTCACGAGATAAGGTATCTATATCACTATGAATGATCATCGAAATATTTTAATCTGATTTATTATCAGTTGAAAATTTATCTATTGTATTTATAATGTCCTGCTATTTTTTCTAGATTTTATTTGGACGCTTTTTATTATTTTTCCTTGGCTTACTATTTGAAATATTACTATTATCTTTATCATTGCTATTGATGATTTTACTATTGAATTGAAATATTCCACTTTTACTCACTACATGCTCTCCTATTTAAAGCTAAGCACCATCTACAGGACTATTTGCTGTTTAATTATTTCTCATATGCATGTCTTCATCTTGTAAATTACAATTTGAATTCCTTTAGTTATCTTGACTACTTTGCCTTGCATGCTTATATCTAGATGTAATATTTGATCTGTTTGCACTCTTGAGTTCATCAGGTGAGTTTAACTTAACCAGTAGAGTTAGATTCTGCTTGTGTGGCTCTATTTAGGTTCTTGAATTGCTCTATTTAATGATGTTTGATGTCTTGATAGATTGAATTATTAATGAATCATACTTGGCATGATCTAGTGTTGTCAAAAACCGATCTTTAATTACCATGTTTGCCCTATTAGATTTAATTTTGTCTTTTACTTCTCTATCATGACTTTTCATCATCAAATACCTGTAATATTGCGTATTTCCTTTGCCATCCCTGTTACCAGAATTCTTCCTCACATTAATAGGGGAGGTATTCTTGAAAACCCCCTTGTGATCTAAGTTTATAACTGCCTTGAAATTATCTAGTCTAGATCTGACTTTTGTGTTCTCCAGTGTCATAGGTGCTTCATCATTCTCTATGATATTCGCATTAGTATTATATTTTTCCTTGAATATGTACTAAGAATATTGAGAGGGCCTCTATGTTGCTAGGGAAGATTTCCTGTTTGTTAATTCACTTAGTCTGATATAAGAAGACTAATTGATAGGCGTTTAGTTATTAAAATAATCAGGCGAGTTAAGAATATGATGAAGTACTTCTTTCTAATTTTAAACCTTTATCTTCCCATCAACAGAAGCCTAATGATTTCCTTTGGAATCGATATGAAATGTTTTGGCAAGATTCCTTGTAAAGAACTGATTTTTGCTATCAGCCATAAAACTGAGATCCAGGGGCTTTTCCAAAGTTTTCAACTATCTTTTTGTATACAGATCCTTTAAGTTCTATTAACCTATATAGAAAGACTAGTTCAATTTCCTTAGGTTTCCTCTTGAAGGAAACTTATTGGTGTTTGAAACTGGCATCTGAGGCAGCTTAAGTTTCATCTTCATTTCATTTGTTGCCTTGATCTGCTGCTATCGAAGCTGGAGAATGTTTTCTCTGGTGTTTTTGGCTAGCTTGTTGCTGCTTGTAACCACAAAGGCTTCAAAGTTACCCACATGTTCATAGGTTGGCAGGATATTATACTCTGAAATATCGTTTGATTTGTTGTTCCTTGGTGATTCTATCATTAATTTATCCTTTTATAAAAATTTATTTTAGCTTTTTTATTTACTTTATTACTTTTGGAAAGCTAGATAGGAGTAATGAATTATTAATCTGAAATTTATTCAAAAGAATATTATCAAATAATACACTCTAAGTATTATATAATATATAGTATTAATCATCAGGAGATAAAATGTCACGAAAATACTTCGATAAACTCATGACTGGCTCTGGAGTTACAGGTCGCTAGGTTAAGTCTAAGTTAGGGGAGAATATTATGAAAATGATGGGGTGGGACCAGTAAGCATATTAAACAATTTAACTAATTTGATTAGTGGTAAAGGCCTAGGCAAGCATGAAAAAGGAGAGACTGAAGTCATTTAGATTAAGCGTAGAGAAGAAGGCATGGGTTTAGGAGTAGAGAATACATCACCTGCAGTCACTTTTAGATGGAGTGACTAATTCTGGGTAGATGTGTATAACAAAGCAGCCACTAGTTTCTAGAATGTGAAGCAGTCTAAAGAGAAGAAGAAGTCTAGTAAAAAGAGAGACGAAAGCAGTGATAGCGATTCTTCAAGTGATGGTGAATTTGATGGAAATATTGTCATTTAGAAAAGCAAGAAGAGTCTGTCTAGTAAAATTATAAAAAAGGAGTCTAAGTAAAATGCTAAGGACAAGGTAGCAGACAAAAAGGCAGATAAGAAATAAAAAGATAAGAAAAAAGACAAGAAAGATAAAAAGAAATCTGTCACTCCACTTAGGAGAAGCAGGAGAAATAGCACAGTATCCGATAAAAAGTGATTATAATTGAGGAATTCGCTAGAAGCATTTAATTAATTAGCTATATTTATTATTTATTAGACAAAGAATTCAGAATTCTATTACTTTTTCAATTTGAGATGATTGGGGTTTTGGGGTTTTGGGG